AGTCTGCAAGCCACTCCTGGCAGGAGGTGGGAGGAGAAGCCTCCCTGCAAGTTTGATGAGTGGACGATCTGGCCCCAGGGGTTGGGTTATCTAAGGTCTACTTAGATAAGCGGAATTCTTGTGCAACTTGCTTATAATTCTAAGCCAAGAACTGCCTGAGTAGATGATCTGGCCCCAGGGGTTGGGCTATCTAAGGTCTACTTAGATAAACGGAATTCTTGTGCAGCTTGCTTATAATTCTAAGCCAAGAACTGCCCTGCTTTTTGCCGTGCAACTACATAAAACCCAACATTCCAACAGAGGAAAAGTTTGATTAAAGTCCCATATTTTGGGACCCTCTTTCAGTAACCTGAATATATTGGGTTTTGGAGGCCCTCTATTGGCATCTAACCCAACAGAATGGTTCCTGCCCCCCCCCATCTGGGTTAATTGCTGGGAGTAAATCACAGCAGCAGTTGCTGCAGTTTCTAAATTCCCTCTTCTCTCGTCCTCAGAAGTGATGTGGATTGGTCCCTGAAAGAAAGGGCAAGGTACTGGGTAGAGGTAACAATCATGAAAAGGGGCCAAACAGGGTAGCCTTACCATGTGGCAGGATAAGGTGGCTTTTTCAGATAGCAGATGCTACAGGGTTGAGAGGGGTGTGAAGTGCTGGGTGACAGAGACACATGGCTTTTTTTTTTGCATCCTAGAAGCTAGCCTACAGCCATCCAGTTGAACAGAGGATGCTCTCCTGTTGCCATTATCAAATTGAGGTTCAGCTGCCAGGCTAGTTGTACATAGAATGGCCAGGAGGCACTATCTTGTCCTATAGAACAGTGGTCCCCAACCTTGGGCCTCCAGATGTTCTTGAACTACAACTCCCAGAAACCTTCACCACCACTTCTGCTGGCCAGGATTTCTGGGAGTTGAAGTCCAAGAACATCTGGAGGCCCAAGGTTGGGGACCATTGCTATAGAAAGCAAACTGTTATGCAAGTGCCTGGAGCAAGCTATTAACAGGATTTTACCAAAGATCTCCATCATCTAGAGCCAGTGACAACCAAGTCACCATTTTCATAGTCACAAATTACACAGTGATGGCTTACATCAAATGAGCATCATACTTTTTTTTTCTTTAGATAAAAACTCACAAGGAGTGACTGTTATCTTGTTTGTCAACAAGTAGCTTGTAAAAGTGGATTTGCACAGTAGCCCAATCTCTCTCCTTCCTTACCCAAATTCATGCTGGACACAAAACGATTAAACTGGGCGATATCTTCCTTTGTCGTTACAATGGATGGGTGTTTATAAAGAAGTCTGAAAGATCAATGACACTGGGGGGGAAAGACAAGGAGCCAATGAATAAATCTGACAAGATTTCTTATCACGGTAACAAGACAGAAAATAATGGGAGAAGAATAAGCTTTAATAGCGATCAACAACTCTGGAACAGACGGAACAAAGAATTCTATTCTTCACCTGCCACTGTATTATTTTTGTTGGTACATTATCTCTTCGACTTTGTAGAATAAATTACCACTTTCTCTTTAACTGGTCTCACAAGGAAGCTAACCAAAAATTACAGATGCTGACTGTATTTGCAGAATTCTTGGTTTTGCTCCCTTGTCTTCCAAGCTGGCCTTCCCTTTAGGGCAGAGTGAGGCAGCCACCTCAGGCAGCAGATTTTAGGCGTCACGAAAGGGCAGCAAATTGTTCGTTGTTATTGTATTTGTGCTGTCAAGGAAGGTAAAGCAGGCATTTCTAAGATTTTCTGCCTCAGGCGCCAAAATTACTTCACCAGCCTTGGTTGCTAGGAGCCTTGACTCGGATAAGCCGGGGCGAGCATCATTTGCTGCTTTGCCTCAGGCAGTGAGATGGCTTGATCTGGCCAGTCTTGAATCAGTACATTCCCGATTTGCTGAGTGTAGGACTCCTCACTGATGGCATAGGACATGTCTGTATGGCTTATGGACATTCTGGCTTGCCTTCCATCTTGGTTAAAAAGAAATCATTAGGCTGGGTGAGGAGGTGGCCTTAGTCTGTTCCTCAGGAGCTGTACCTGGTGTAACCCTGAGCCAAGTCCCAAGCATGTTCCCCTGAAAATATTCCACAAAAACTACATGTTTTTCTTGGTTTGGGGTTTTTATAAAGACACAAAGAGAACCTAAGCCTACCTTGACCTTTGTGGGAACTCTCTTTCTCTGTGTGTGTGTATTTTAGTAAGAATGACATTTATTCTCTTTAATAATCACACACATTTAAGTTGATCCTGACTTATGGTGATCCTTTCTAGAGTTTCTTTAGGTACAGCATACAGAAAAGAGGTTTACCAATCCCTTCTTCTGGGGATACTCTGGGACTCCGCTGCTTGCCCAAGGTTACACAGGCTGGCTCTTCTCTTGTGAAGCGGAGTGAGAATCAAACTCCTGGCCTCTAACTCTGCAGCCAGATACCAAACGCATTGAGCCGGTTCTAGTGCAGAGGAGGAACTTAGCTAAATGCCATTCGGTGACATCCTTAAAATGGTGGGCTGCTTTCCTCTGGGTTTGGTGGGACCCAGCTGTCATTACCGTCAAATGCCAAGGGTCTGATACCACATGTTGAAATCAAATAGCACTTGAGGAGGAACATCAAAGATCTGAGGAACCTTGCAACACATAATGTTCTGGAGGAAATTTCTTTCAGTTTTAGTTTAGTTTCAGTAACTATTTCTTTACTTCTTTGGCAGAAAAGGCCACCAGACTTCTATCATTGTCTCAGAAGGACCTTCCCTTGGTGGCAGAATTAGAAAGTATAGGAACAATTTTGGATTAGGAGTTGGCAGATCCTGGGAAAATGAACCTTTTGGATTGCAACCTCTTGCATTCCAGTTGCAGCAGTCCAAAGAAGTAACATTTCCATAATCTGGATGTCAGCAACCTTAGTTCTGCCCAAAGATAATGAGAAGGACTTGTCTTGCAAAGAGTGTATCAGTTCCTCAGCTTGTGCAGTTTTGCTGTGGACCTTAAAATGGAGGGAGGGAGAAAGATGCTCATTAGTAGGGACAAGAGGTGTTTCTTTCTCTTGGTTGTTTTTGGTAGCAAGCTGCAGGTGGTTGAAAATGTCCATGGAATTACTTCTCAGCAGAACTCCAGGCATATTGATTAAGCCTACGGAGAACGTCTGTAGCCGCTTTTTCCAGTTGAGCTCTCAGTGACACTGCAAATGCACCTTTCCCTATTAGTGCTTCTCTTTTGCATCAGAGAAACAGAAAAAGATGGTACAAAGTGCAGGCTCAGGCTGCTATGGAGAGAATTAAGTGACTTCACATTTTAAAAACAATATATATCTTCCTAATGACATACCAATTTATGAGGTGCTTTTCCCAGCTAGCAACTGCACAGAATTTGGAAATACTACTTTGTTTTTAAAGGACACCTCTCAGAACATCCCAGCAGGGGGATTATGGGGACTGTAGTTCAAAACATTTCCAAGTTATCACTCGCCAGTGTTGGGGCTTCTGTTTTCCCCTTCTGTTTGTGATTCCACCTGCTTTCTTGCTCTTCCTCTGATAATCAGTCCATCACCGAATATTGAGAGAATATGCAAATTTAAAAGATAGGAGAAGGCAGCCTTTGAGAATTCTTGCATGTCATATAGTGTATGTGCAAATATTTATCATCTCTCTATGCAGCTGGAAAACTGTGGGTGCCGCATAGAGCAGACCTGGTATTTGACAGTGGGAGATGGAAGATGAGCAATGTTTGGTTGTCGTTTTGCAGGTGACAACTGTGGGTGTGGCCACAAGCATGCTGGCTGGAGGATTCTAGCAGTTGTAGCAGAAATGCAGTATTTTCGATGTTCTGGTTTTGTGTTAGGTGGGTCCTAGGTGCTGCCCTGAGATTTGAAGGATCCAGATTCTGGTCCTCCTGGACCACGCAATTCACAGGGTGATCTCCACCAGGCCTGGTTTCTTTCAGCTTGATCTACCTCAAAGCGGTGATCTCAGGATACAGTGGGGAGAAGGAGAGACTCCTTTTCCTTTTTTTCTTTTTGAAGTTATATAGCTTGCCCATTGGAGAAAAAGTGGGCCATAAATATAACTAATGAAGTAAATCAAATGCTTGTTTTGATTGACACTAAACGTGGGTTGTTGTTAACTATTTTAAGAAAATATTCTAGACCTATGCTGTAACAGTTGTTCCTGAAATTAAGGTGGAATGTCTTCAGACAACACCTGGGCAACAGTGGATAAGCATGCGATAAAAACAGAATGGCCTTGTGAGAAGGGATTTTTGGTTTCCTATGGAAGCCTATTTACTTCTACTTTTACCCCTCTCTTTCTCCCTCTCTCCCTCTCTCTCAGAATGGTCAGTGTGGATATGTGTGCCTGCAGTCACATTGAACTCACACGGATTTTTTTTTGGGGGGGGAGGATTAAACTCCCAGAATATCCCAGCAAAATTTTGCCATCACTGTGTGCTGTAGAAGACAAGTAAGGAACTGTAATTTCTGGCCGGGGTCTGGTTTCTAAGCACAGCTGCTTCCACGGGCTCTTCTCTCCTCTTTACTTGCATTCCCTCCTCCCCCTCCTCCCACACTTCTAGTTAAAAAGGCTTATGGATCCAGAGCTTCTGCTACAAGAGGTAAAGGAATTTGCAGAAAGAAGTGAAGGCGGTTGTGGTGGGGGATGTCACTTGACAGATTGTTGTTAGGGCCCGGGGGAGGCTGTCGAAGAAGGAGCTGGATTCTTCAGCCTGCATGAAATCATCACCGTGCGTGCACTGGAACAGATGAACTCCAGGCAGCCCTTGGTATAGGATGTGTGTCTCCGCTTTTTTGTTCCCCTATCTCCTCCGCCGTCTAAAATGAGAAACACATCCAGCCATTGTCCACAGTGCAAACAGAATCTGTCTAGACTCCAGAGAGGTCTGTGTGTGTGGATTTTGAAGTAGGGTAAAAAGTGCAGGACTTTCTGGAGCCTACAAGGGAAGGAATGATTCCCACCCACCCCAACTCTGCGGCAGCCAACGTCTTCCAAACAAGAAGTAGAACTCCTGAGGTGAGTAGAAAGATGTTAACGGAGAAAGGTCTGCACATGTTTATTCTGTCTAAGTGGTGGCATTTCAGCAGCTCCAGGGGATCTTTGGCAAACAGACTCAAGCAAGGTAGCATCTATTTCGGGAAGCAGAGAGACTGTTGCTGTCAAAATGACTCAGATGTATGCATATGTTGGTTCCTTTCACCGGGGATTTACAGGTTTCCTTTATGTCCCAACCATCCGTTGTACAGTCTACTCTACATTCCTGGGCAGGTACTGGCATTTGACAGGCCTTTTTTTCTTTTCCTTTTTTTCTTTTTGAATCATGGGGAAAGAGAACTTGCTATTTTACGTGTGTCTCTTGCGAGTTTCTGGCAACCAGAAATATTATGCATTGAACACCATTAAAATAGAAAATCTTCAAAACAAAACGGAACATGGTGGATTACAGATATGACAGATGCTCCTAAAGAATATTGTTTTTTGTGTCCAAATGCTTTTGCCTTCCATTAGGTTTCCTCATGAATTGCCTCATTACATAAACTGTAGTATTGTAGACCTGGAAGGAACCCGAGCTGTTATTTAATCCAGTATCTTGCCACTCTGTGGCTAAAGCATCCTTCATAGACAGTCATCCAACCTTTGTTTGAAGTCTATCTTGGTTCAAGCAAAGAGGCTTATAAACAGAGAGAGATCACCTCCTTCCTTGTAGACAAATTTAGTCTCTGAAGTCATCTGAAAAGGCCATCCTAGCAGTATTACGGGTTCCTCAGGTTGAATTGACTATTGTTTGGGGCAAGGATTTTAATGCAATGGTACTCATGTTGCAAACCTTTTCTTCAGAAACAAACCATGCTCCAACAATTCTGGTTTTGAAATACATAGTGAAAACACACCTATTTCACACCTTTCCTTGTGGAAGCCAGCCTACCACTTATTTTACAGAAGACATACACCTTGTCTTTTAATGCTGTACATTGTGTGTGTGCATTGCACTGGTGATCAAGTTTTGTTGGGTGTAAACTTTGGGGAGGGATGACTGCAGCTTTCTATGTGGCTTATACCGAAGCTAGTACAAAACAAAGCATTCCTTTTTAAGATGCCACAAGACTTTACCAAAACAGGTACCCCACCCCATGAACAGCATGTTATCTCTTTGTTGTACAACACCTTGAAGTCCTTAGATCTAAGCAGTACGTAAATATTAGTCTACCAATTAGACCCAAGTCTTGTTGGTCGGCTAGAGTACATTCCTTGAATCAATCAATCAATCAATCAATCAATCAATCAATCAATCAATCA